TTGTGTATAATAAATCTTAGTTAGCAGTTTCCGCTTCTGTAACCCATTCTTAACTCTCAACAGACCCCAGATACAACTCATTTCTAGTTGTTCCATTTTAAATGTTATATTTTCCTGTGATCACTGGAGCTGAGGTAATGAGAGTGGTGCTAAAATGTCTATAAAACTATGCATGTATATATATATATAAATATATATATATACATACAAAAAACTATGTAATTTGCAATAATAATAATAATAATTTGTAGTGTAGATATGAGATAGAAAAAAAACCTTATTTGATCCCCACAATTTAAAGATGCAGAATGAAGGCAAGGAAACAACATCCAAGTTGTCCTCTCTCTTCTCCCCTTCTCTCTATTTGTGCACAGAAGAAAATCAACTCTGACCAATAATAATCTGTTTTGTTTCAGCAATTGATAGTCTTCTTAATTGTATGTCCACAGTATCTATCACAGTGTGTATCACCAGTCATCTACAGTGGGTTTGTCTGTAATCAGAGAAAATGAGCAGTGCAGCACAGCTGTGTCTGGGCATGACGGCGCCTGAGGTAGTTGATATGAGTTTATGTTACATTTATTTCATGTGTAGCAGGTGCTTCTTTGTTGTTAACAACTCCGAAATGTAATTGGTTTCTGTGTTTCGTCTGTGACCTAAGCTCCACTCTCACTTAAATATTTCTTAGAGAAAAAGCAGCTGACATTGTGACATAACACAGGATTAGTACTAAAGAATGGAATGTTACCATGGTGTAGAATACAAGTCACTGGTACTGGCTCTGGTAGGTGTGAGACCTATAATGGTAGCATAATAATGTGCATTAGTTCAGATTAATTTGCATCCTAACATTAAAGTGTACCATAATCCCCGTCAGCTGTCTGGAAAGGTTGGAGGTCAGGAGGCCGATCCTTCAACAAGCATTTATTTGTTGTTCCTCTGCAGATTGCGGACCGACGTACTTGTTTGGTGACGGTTAGACGTCTCCTTTGATCTCACTTTACTAGTGCTTCTCATTTCCCGGATAATAAAAAATATTTTGTCAGTAGTTTTATTTATTTTTCTTCTTGTACTACCGCAAAAGTACACACATCACAGTAAAAGGGATTGTGTCCTGAAATAACAAGTCTAGTGGGCGGGTTCATCCCCCACTTATCCTCTCCTGCAGGAACAAGGTCAAGTGTCAGAGGCCCCGGATGACTGAATGAAAGTCAAAGCAGAGGCTGGAATTATTATTTTTTTGTTCAGAAGGCGGTTTTACAGTAAATTATACACACATTTACCTAACAGTGTACCACTACAACCCCAGGGTTTGTGATTCCAATGGTGTACCCACCGAGCACATATGCTAGTTTCACTGTTAACTTTCCACTGAAAACATTTACCATCAGTGATAGTTTAGAGGTGGGGAGGTCACGTAAAGTGCCTGATAGCAGCAGAATGTTTACTGGTATTAATCACAGTATGAAGTCTCAGTTTTAATTATAGACTTTTTAAATGACTGTAGGTACCGATATGTGTCCAAATAGTTTTTGGTCAGAGTAAGATGACCTTGTTGCAGACTGGGACACTCCCACCAGACTAATGCTACTGGGAGTTGCTCCAGCTTCTTCACTGACCCATAGAAGATCAGTAAGGAGATGACATCTGTCCTTGACATAGCTTTGCCCATGGTCATAACAGAAAGAGACCTGAGAATCAAATGAACTAAAACATGGTCAGTATGGATAAGAAAAGTCCTATGCTCTCAGTCAAGCTGCCATCACAACAGGCAAAAAACCCCATTTCTCCAAAAATACATTTTTGGATTTATAATAAATAATTAAAGTGAAGTTCCCAATCCTATTTTATATTGTATATTTAAACAGATGGTATCATTTTAGTCTGTAGGAATTTCCTGAATGTAATAAACCATAACAATTCAAAAGAAATCCTGTTGGTAATTGTAAATGAACCACAGGAATAAGATAGTTGTTTGTCATTGTTAGTTGACTGACTTTCTGCATCATGTAACACAATTACAATATTATTTAGGGGGCAAATGTAGAAATCAGATTTATCATTTGGGTTAATATTTCAAAGGGCATTGCATTGCAAGTTACAAGTTTTGTCATGCTAGTGACGTACGATTCCTAGAAGATGGAGGCTCTGTGTTACTTCCAGCTCACCAACCGTATTGTCATTATGGTGAGCAGTCAGTTATTGAGTAGTAGGCCAGACATGTCTGTCCTGGGGCACATTTCTTATTGTAGTTGACGGTTATTGGTTTCCAAATATTACAACTGCAATCACACCCTAAATGCATTGGGAGGGGAAACTACATGCCCTTTGTACTGTATGTAAACAACAAGAATTGTTACATACTATGTTTTCATAGAGGCATCATGACATTTGATTGTCTTAATCTGTTCTTTGGTCATGGTAAGTTTATATTTTTGGGAAAATCGATCCTTTTTTCATTTTTTCTGTTACAACATACATAAGAATCTTTATCTATTGGTCAGTGGTTATGTCTTTTAATAGCTACTAATATAAATAATAAAATGATGACCCTTCACAGACCTGGGCCTCATAGGTGTCTCACATTCTTTTATAGTGACTTTTTTCTCTTTTATATCTTCCTCCTCCTGGTTCATAATTTATTCATTTGCTCTCTCGGCTTCTTGTTGCCGGGGAATGTGTTTGTGTGATGTATTTTCCATTTCACTTGAGCAGCTGCCTCTTCACTCCTGTCTGATCTAAGCAAATATGATCCTGGACTTGGTGACTCATCATGCTGTTGCTTATCTTAATGTGTGACTGTGTATTTAGTTTTAATATATTAAATATATATTAATTTCCTTTAAAATAGTGAGGGCGGTGACAGTTTGGGAGCCCCCTACAGCACAGCATAGTCCCATCCAATTTTAATCCCCTCCCACGTAATCCCGCCTCTTCTGTCATTTCTTTTCCTTTCAAACCCCCTGCCTCTGTTTTTCCACTCCCTCTCTCTGTCTCTCTCTCTCTCTCTTCCTATCCACTACTACTATCCCATTTAGCCCACCTTACGCCTGATGAAGCATTAAGCTGTGGGCAGCAGCCTCAGCCACAGCCTCACATTCAGATTGCCGTGTTTACGTGTGCTGCATGGGATCCTCCCTTGCTCTCTGGGATTTCTGGCTTCTCCCATACTTTGGGGAATCACTTGCTACAACTGTACACATTTTTTGGTAGTACGTGGGAGTGGGATCAGCACACATTGTTTGCTCATACCAAACTACACTTGCTGCTTCTTGGACACCTTGGAGATGGTTCTGAGGGCTCATCTTTGACCTAAACTTGGCCTTTCTATTGTTTGGACTAAAACACGTTGGATAAGATGGTGCCCCCGCAGAAAAAGGTAATCTGAGTTGTGTGTGTGTGTGTGGAGGAGTGTATGTGAATGTGAAAAGAAGGCTGGGTTTCATGTGCATGATGTGGCTGCAGTGATTTGTGCTTGTTGTGATGAGTTTTCTTCTCACATTGGCTGTGGTCTATTGAGTGCATGTTGTTGATCATAAAGAAAGTCTTAAAAGCAGGAAAAGTTCAACACAAAGACGTGTTTATACGGTTGAGGAGACACCTCACTATTACAGGGTAGTTTACCAATGTAAAGCTGCTGGTTTATCTCATCATTCTACCACTGAATGGCCTGTTGATGAGTGATTACTCATTGAAATTAACTGACAGTGCAGACTGGACCTCCTCCCTAATCCACGTACTTTCTATTGTCCATGTTGAGTACTTCAACAGAGAGTAGTTTCATTGGTATTGGTCACACTGTGTACAAGACATACTGTATGTGTATTGTGCTTAGTTTAAACCCTGAGCAGAGAACCCACAGTAATAAATAAAGTTTTCTGAAAGTGCTGCTCCTCTGTGCTTTTTCAATGTCACCACCACATCCATTTCCTGTTCTTCTGATGTACCGATACTTTGTGCAAAGATGAGCAGGTAAAGTGTGTAGGCTACTGCAAAGTTTTGCTCAGTTCTTCAGTAGCTTCACGAGCTTCGTGTCTTGCCACAGTATCTATTAGCTGGGAGAGGATCCAGTTATGGTGGAGGAGAGGATGGGGGATTGTTGGAGCCACACCAAGGTCATTTTACGTCTCGCTTTATGTTTTTGATTATACCTGTTGTACGCTTGTTAAAAAGTGTCCATGTGATTGCCAGTAAATATTAACATGTGTGTAGCTGGTAATTGATATACCAGCTGAGGTTCTGATATGATGAAATGTAGAAAATGACCTCAGCTGACTAGTGGCTCATTTTTTCCTTAGACTAGCTCTAACAGCTGCATTTGGTTATCAGAAGTTAGACATCGGGGGCCCCTCAGTGTTTCTCACAGAATTTGATTCTTTATGCAATGATGAATGACACAACTAGGGCTATGGTGAAATATGTGTCAGCATGCCTTGTAGAGTAATATCAGAGTAATACCTTCCTTTTCTTTGTGTATCCTCATTGACCATATGCACTTGTTTCTATCTTGTTGCCTTTGCAGAAATCTTTGGATGTTGTAGATAATTCTGATGGATGCAAAGAAAGAAAAATACTAATGCAGTTGGTGTTTCCTCAATCTGTGATCTTTGAGGAAGATCAAAAACATATGCAGGATGTCAAAAGAAGCCAACTGAGCTGTATCGGAGATAGTTGAGGACAGTGTCCATGATGTCTGATGTCTGAACTGTAGTCCAGAGAGTGCACAAATGCTTTGTTTGGATCACTGACCGTGAATAAGCTCTGACATATATGTCTATGCTTCACTGCTCTGGAAGCCAGATGAATAGTTCCAACATTTAATGAGGCACGAAGCAGATGTTGAGATCAGCTTTTATTATTATTACTATAAATCTTGTCTTCTGCAATGCAGTGGTGACCTGTTTATTTTGTTACCTGCCTGTCACTACTTACTTGCAGAGTTGACACCTCTGTTAATAAAATAATAAAATTCAATATTAAATGTGTGTTCTTCTTTACAGGATCAGTTTGAGAACTTGGAGAAGCATACACAGTGGGGAATCGAGTTTGTGGAGAAGTATTCCAAATTTGTCAAGGAGCGATCAGAGATCGAAACCAACTATGCAAAGCAAATTAGGTAAGTGCTCGCTGACTAACTGTAGGACATTAGGTCTCTATTAGCTCCAGGGCCCTAATTTCAGTAAATATTTTTCATCCATGTAATTTGGACAGAGAACTCCCCCATGACCTTGCTGCAGGATGTGACCTACTCTTGTGTCCTTGACACTAGAGAAAGAATCCCCAGTAGCTTATTATGCAGCCGACCTCTCACCTCCCTCTTGAGAAAGAAACTGAAATTGAAATTTCCACATGAGGCACAGAACATTAAGAGCTGTATTATGAACATTTTAAATACTATTATATCATCTGCAATATTCTACAGTGAAGTGCAACAGATTTAAATTAAATTAATAAATTAAAGCGTTGATAAACACACAGCAGAATAAGAATAGGTCGGACACTCTCCTACAGTTTCCTTTCCGTTTCCGTACAGGCTCTTGTTGCTGTGTTCTGTCCAGACAAGAGGAAGTCAGGTGGCGGGGGATATGGGTGGAGCTTGTGTTACCATGGAGACTAGACGATATCAGGGATTTCAACCTCATGTCTGACCCAGATTTCTGTATTTTCCCCTACAACCACTATTGTTGGCTCCTCCCCTTCTGAGTAGCGTTGATGCAATCACAGCTTTTTAAGAGAAGTGATGTGATCATGAGCAGGATTCATCCTCTGTGGTTTGTCTTCTTAATCTGCACCAACAAACCCAAACTCTTTATCTTAAAAGAGGTCACAGCAATATGGCTAATGCTTTAAGTATTGACTCTGACCCGCCCACCAATCCCATCCCCTGTTTAAAAGAGCCTAGCCAATACCTGATAGCATTTACATGGCGACCCCATTAGAGACCTTTGGTTGACCACTCCTGTGGGTTTTTTTTTTACTTTTAACCAATCAAGGACAGTCATACATGATACTGAATCACTTTCACACTTGAAACCTAAACCTAAAGGCAAACGGATACTGATCATTTTACACTTGTCTGCTAGCACACTACCTTATTTGGATGTTTTCATGTCTGGATGTTTTGGCTTATATGATCATTCATTTATTGTTCATTAGAAAACGTGTTTGTTTGGACAACACACAGCTTTATTATTACAATATAACACACACAGCCATATTTATATGAACAGGTCAGCGGTTCCCTACAGTGTGTTTAATAAAAGGACAGGAAGGTACTTGTCTTGTTGACAGGTTGTCTTTTATAGAAGTCCAGCCCACACAGATGGTGCGGATGTTTTCAGCCAGCGTGTCATCTGGCTGACATACACACTCACTAGTACACACCGTTACAAAATGTCCACATTAGTAAACCCGTCAGAAATAAGGAAGTTAGGACACTCCAACAGGATAGGATGACTCATGAGGGTTTCCTGAATATTGAGCACTGAGGACTTTTCTTTTAGCCAAAAAGACATATAGGATGCTGTGTGAGTGATATTATAAAAGTAAAAGTCTTATTATTTTAGTCTTTTGAAGTCAATAGGTCATACATTCCCAGCTAGTTAATTGTTTTAAAAATTGTGCTAATTTCCTCAAGGAAAGAAATAAATTAAATGCTGTTATTTAAAACACGTTAAATGTAATTTTAAAGCAGTTTAAAACAAGTGTAAACAGTTGATTGTTATATTTTTGTCAAATTGTATGATCATCTACTAACCATGCCCTGAAACATTTGTCAGTAATCCTCTTTGTTGCATTATTGTCGACATGTCGAATACTTCAATCAGGTTAAGCAGGGCAGTGTAATACTACATTCTCTTAGCCTAGCATAATCCATTACTTCCAAGACTAAGGGGAAGCTAAAAAAAGAAAGTAGGTGATGTTAACTTAACCTACAGTAGTGTGTACACATTCATTTTTAGTAAGTTATAGATTTATAGAAATTAAATAATGCTCCTATTTTAACTGTTTTGTATGAAATGTGGCTGCATTCATAAATGAATCATTTCAATGTGTTTACATTTGTTATTTTTCTGTAAGTGATAAAAATGAGAGTTAAAAACTTGGCCTAAAACTAGAGACTGGTTGAGGAGTACAAGGGCTGAGAGAGAACAGAAGATCTGCCTAGCAACAGAGCAAACACCATCAGGGAGTGTAGTGTGGGGGCTGTAGGCAAAGAGAGATGGATGGAGTGCAGACGCGTTACGCATGTTCAAGACATGCATTTTTTATTTCAAGAGACATTAAACATGCCTGTTTACCACAAGTTTATGCTTGGACATTTAGTTTGGGTTGAAAGCCGTTATCTCTGAACTAGGTCTCTGATTAGACCACTTTCACAGTAACTGCCATGGAGTTTTAATTGTACCGAAAATGGTGGTAGGAAATTTAGCAGCATTAATGTGTTTATATAGATAATGTATATCTTATATAAGATGTACATGATATTGTTTCACAATTATATACTGCGTTAGTAGGGCTTTTCTTAAAATAGTATTGTTAACAGTCCTGGACAATAGACGGTATTTAAAAAATGGAAATAATCTTTGTTACATTTAGTGAGGACCAGGTGCAAGGATGCAAGTATAAAAAAAGGGGGCCATCAATCTCTGTATGAAAGGAAGTCGATAGGAAGTTAAAGCAACCTTGTGGTTTATGGTCGAAAATGTTATTTTCAGTTCTTCATGGTCTTTTATACTACACAATAGTATGATTCTATACATTATGCCTGTTTTTATTTGTTAACATAAAAGACCAGAGGTGGACCTGTCAGTTGGAGGCAATTCACAGACTGCTAGCATGTAGTAGCATAGTAGTCAGTGTGTCCTCTCCTGCTTCGTCCTCAAGCACTGCTCCCCGGGCGCTGACCACGGCTGCCCACTGTTCACTTGGTGATGGGTTAAATGCAGAGGTTAAATTTCGTTGTGCTGTGCTGTGTCACAATGACAAATAAAGATAAGTTTAAAGTTTAAGTTGAGCTAAAGTCATCTATCGCCCATACATCCAGGGTTAAAACAAGGGCAATGGCCACATGTAAAATGCACATGTGGTCTTGTGACTGGTTCTTCATGCATAATCCTGGGTCAATGATTTATGACCCTAAGAGAGGAGAAGGGACGTGGATGGTAGCAGGAGAAGAAAGCACTCAGTTGGATTAATTGGCGTACGGGATGATCCTTTGGCAGGTTCATAATGGCAGTGTCAGGAAAGGATGATGGGAATAGTGCACCTCATTCGCAGAGAGGACGGCTGTGAAAGACAACCCAGTTTGACATTTCTGACAATGCTGAATGTCTCTTCTGTCCCCACAGGAATTTGTCAAAGAAGTATCAACCCAAGAAGAACTCTCGAGAAGAGGAGGAGAGCAAGTGAGTCTATTGACACTGCACATTAAACATTAATCTCAGTCACCTGTTTTTGCTACATTAGACTTAGCAAATCAAATCCCAAATCACAAAGGTAATTTGTTATTTCTTGCCCTCTATTATGCAAAACATTGAAAGGTGCCTAATGTCTTAATTCATTAGAAAAGCTGAAAAAAAGGGAAATCCAACATACTATATTGTCTTGCAGAATAAACTTACTGCAAATATATATCAGATTATTTTACTTTGTTATACTAATACTATTTTTTGACTTTATCAAATAATCTTTTGCATCCAGTGCTTAAAAGGTTTACTGACCATTTGGCCAAAATGTGAAAAATTTGATTTGTTTGTAGTAACTCTGCACAAGACATTACTCAGTGGTGCGTCAGCGACCTGCGATCCTGTAGCATGGTTATTTGTTAAGCAGTTACTGTTAAATATTTTAGTGCTTAGGAGGAAAAAGACTTGACATGTCTGTACTTGTGCTGTAGACAGAAGAACTGACAACAGTGACAAGAGCAGAGTATGATGACAGGTTGACTGGCTGGTAATTTACCCTTGACCTGATCAGTCACTAGATTTGACTACAACCTGCAAACATACTGTACGTTAATTAGAAACCAAGAAGCATTGAACCTCTATAACTGTGGCTCCCCATCATATGCCTCTCTCATTACCATGGCGACAGCTCAGTAACACAAATACTCCAGGGTATACACTTCTACACCCCCCCATCCCATTCTGGGGGGGCTCCACCTCCATTTCGGGAACCACCACTCCGGACTGATTTTTCTTCTATTTTCTAAAATATTGTTTAATGAAATGACAAATTTTCCAATCTTGACGTCTTTCCTCTAATTTCTCTCCTTGTGTATTTCCAGGTACACCTTTTGCCGATCCTTCCTGACGACACTGAATGAGTTAAATGACTATGCAGGCCAACACGAGGTGATAGCAGAAAACCTGACATCTCAAATCCTCACAGAGCTTTCACGCTACCTGCAGGAACTCAAGGCGGAGAGAAAATTGGTGAGACATCTGTTTTGCACTCTTGTTATATATTTAAATTTGTCTACATCATATTATCACCTGTTCACCTGATTTAATTTAATATTACTTTAGCCAGATGCCATAAATATAGTAATAGGAAACACATAGAGTGGCCTCCATAAGATGAATCTGCTCATCCAATCAATGCTGTTCTTACTGAGGTAATAAAAAATATATAAATAAATATAGGCACTCAAAGGCCTGACAGAGGTGCAGAACATGACTGTGAGTTGTCTTTAATGGAACAAGGCTTTTGTCTCTGTATCATTACAGTCTTATTTCTCCCTTGTCAAGGCAACTCTCTACAAATGGTGCACCGCACATTATTTTTTTGTCATTGAAGTTAATTTCCGCACAACCATAATGAAGTGATTTGTGGAGAAGTAGAGTGTAGTGCAGAAGATATCGATGACAGCGCGGTGCCCATAAAATTCTATGGAGTTTGTGTATGGAGTGAAAGATAAAAGCCATCCGGCTGGAAAAATTGAGTTCCAGCTGTGTGGAAAAAAATAGAATGAGAGGGCACAGAGAACAGTGACCTTTTTTATATGATTTTTTTTTAAGTGTTACTCTGTGAGCACATAAAACCTCTTTGGGTCACATAAATCTGATCGGTTTTAACTTTAAAGCAGTGGTTCCCAAAATTGTTATGTCCGCTTTTTTAGAAAGGGCCCCAGTCCCCATGTTAACACACTCAGAACTATTGCTTAAAATCTCTACTGAACTTAATTTAAAAACAGAGAAAATGCTGAACAATACAATAAGATTAAAATGTTGCCCCTTTGAAAGCTCTATGCCCCCTGGTTTGGAAACTTCACTATTAAAAAAGTTTTTACTTAAAAATCATTTTAGAAAATACACTTATTTTCTTTTGTCAAATTTATTTTTCACTTTTGTCTTTGATTGGATTAGTTTGGCTTGGTGACAGCAGCAGACTTTGTTTTGTCCAGATAAGGTTCTTGTCACCGACAGACCACTGCTGCTCTGAAGCTGCAGGATGTCACTCTGACTCCCTTCTTCCTCCTCTGCTCTCCCCCACTCTCCCTTTATTTATCCAGCTCTGTATTTTTTGTCAGTTTTCTTTTGTCTGTACTTCTCTGTGCTGTAGTAATTTAGCACCTTTTTGTTTCAGATAACCACACAAAACACTCAACACTTCACTTTAAATTTATATATAATTAACCCTAAAATTGATCAGCATACACTGGAGTCAGACGTTCAACTCTATTAGCTCTCTTATTCAGATGACCGACAGGCGACCTTACAGTACCATTAATGTGTCAACAGTTTTCAACCGAGACTATTGTGTTCAAAGCAAGTCAGTGGTGAGACTTATTAGAAAGACCCCTGGGTGATGAAAGGGGACTGTGAGCTTCCCAAACTTCCTGTCAATAATTTTCCTGTGTTTGTTTACATCCAGTAACAAGAACCACTAAGGGTTACTTGTCTGTACATTTTGTGTCTGTGTGAGACATAGCTGCCCAGGCGAACCCAGACGGTAGGATTAGAGAAAGGACATAGCCCCAGGGGTTTATAAAGACTTTTCCGGGCAGGGCAGGTACAGTAGTTCTCAAATAATCACTGAACTCCTCATCTAAGGCGGAGTTATTTTGCCTTTGATGAAGGCAACTTTATAGCCTGGACACTTTGATAGTCTGGGGTATAAAGTTGCTAAAAATCCCTGGCTTTTCCTCTTTACCAGTTCTCTCTTGCTATCATCCACATGCTCACTTTGGACACACTCATTTAGAATAAACAGACAAAGAAAATAAACCTGTTTTCTTCATCCGATTGTCCATAATTTACATTTTTATTTTCTCAGACATTCAAGTTTGTTCTTTCTTTGTTTTTATCTCACTCTTATCTGCGTTGAGGCCATACCTTGCTATGTAACACTTAGGCAATATGCAATGTAAAATAGTTACCTAAATATTTCTCAAACTTTTAATACAAACAAAACAAAAGATTTAATTTCACATTCTCAAATATATTAAAATATATTATCTGTTGTAATGAATAGGAAGGAAAAATAAAAATGTTATAAATATTTCTTAAAGATTTTTTTGTTTTTCAACAGCTAGGAAAAACAAACATTTCTTTAACAAATATTTATTATTTTTAATTTTTTTCAAAGTTATACATTTGAAATAATGTTTGACACAAATATTTATTATTTTTAATTTTTTTTAAAGTTATACATTTGAAATAATGTTAACATCTAGGTTGTCATCTAGGACTTTTATTCTAAAATTCTAAATGCTATTACTGCAATCCATATTATGTACCTTTTAATCCTGAGGCTTTTCTTTAAAATTAAAAAAAAAAACATAAAAACTTAAAAAAATAGTGGCTTAAAATAAAAAGTAAAATTCAAAGCAATTGCAGAGGAAGAACGGACTGTTGAACACCACCACCTCACCCATGTGTGATGATTTCAGTCTGAGTAACTTCTGTAATATTACTCATATAGAAATATCACCCCATGGTCTGCAGATGAGTTATAATACCATCGAGGGTTTAATAATGTCTTAAATCTTTCAGCCTTGTATGACCTGAGTCTGTTTCTTGAGCCCAGTGATTATGTGATTCAGGTTCACATACTTGTGAACAAATCACAACAGGGAATGGCTTACCGATGAGCTCCAGCTTTCATTTGTTTGTACAGATGTTTCAGTTCACCTGGTTTTTTTGCAGACATCAGTGGAAGTTTATTTCAAACACCACATGGCTTTGTTTTTTCCTGGTTTGTGCTGTAGGGTGTTGCTATGTAGAACCCCAACCAGAGTAGGCCAGCTCCAAAAAAACAGAGTTAATGTTGAAGAAATGGCAGCAGACGTTTAAGAATGTCTTAAAGACTTCTTGGTGTAATTGGCCTACAATAAGTGGTTTTAAATGACACAGAATGAGATACTCAGTTTACTTTCATTGAGGAAAAAAGAACCTTCCAAAGTTCTCCATTGAAATCAATACATTTATACTTTTCGAGTGTCTCGACAAACCCAAACGGTTTTTGCCCACTCATGGACTACAATTCTAACTCTGGTCAGCATGTTTGGATAAGAGTGTCTGTAGTGCGGTGCTCGTCATAGTGACAGATTATTTGTTGATGCAAACAAATGATCTTCAGTCATCCGCTTTGGAGACAAACATTTAGTCCAAAGAATGTTTCACTGCAACAATGATGTCACCAAGTCTGAAGCGTTGTGGCATCTCCACCGCATCTTATCACCCTTAAGATACACATGCTAGGCATGTTAGTGTTCACCATTAAAACATTTTATCTCAAAAGGACTATGAAGGACAAAACAACTTTTACTCACAACTAACCGTTGTTTTTTTGGTCTAACATACTTCCTCTGAGCCACTGGAGCACTTCCTTTTTTTAACACCGCTTTCCACAAAATTGAGAAGCGTAATTCTCTGAGGTTGGACAAGTTTTCACCTTGTGTTCTATTGTGTGGTATTGTTCAGGTTTGTTTAACTTTTATAGCCCATAAACCCAACTCTATTTCACATCTCCTCTTTGAGTAAATACTCCCAGGTAGTACTAATGACTTCCTTATACAGCACAGAATCCACTGGCTTTTCTACAATTTTCTGAACAGCAGCATCAACATTCTGCTCACCCACCAACCATTTACTAAACAGGTTGTGTAACTAGGGGGCAGCTGATTGATATTCAAGTCTTTAGGTTATTTCCTTTATTCTTGACTCTTTGAGGACAATATGGCAGACAAGCTCGGCCACAGTTGTTTTGTGTGAGGACAGAATCTGGAAGTAATCCATATAGAGTACTGTTGGGAAGAGTCTATCTCTGTGTGAAGCCCTAAACTCCCATGGAGCCAGTAGAGACTGTTATACAACAGTGTATGGTTTTGATTTTAGATTAGGAACTGACACCTTGCCTCTGACAAATGGCAGTTGACATATACCTTGCTTTTGTTTTTCAGCTGCCCCTTACAGTGGATCAGTGGTTCCTAACTTATTTTGTTGAAAGGCAAGAATAATAAAATAAAAGTCACATTTTTTATTTTTAGATTATTATTTCATGTTTATTTTGGAATCCAATTGTGGGGCTGATTGGATGGTTTGGTGGGCTAGATTTGGCCCCCGGGCCGGCAGTTGATCATTACTGCAGTAGATTATGATCCCAGTGTTTTATGTGATCTTATGTAATTAATACATTTTAATCTCATATATTTGGGATCCACCCACATTTGTATTAATTCAATTTATATTAATTTCACTGTTACGTGAGGAGAAGGCAGGAAGCAGGTTGGACCCAAATGCAGCACTAGGGAGAGTCTCTTCAGGTGTCGCTGGTGGTTTATTCACAGTGCCAAAACAACAACGGACAGGAATGAAGCATCGATTACAAGCGGGTTCTTCAGCAAACAGAGTGGAAGAGCGACAACAAAGTCTCAACCAAAACCAAAACAGACTACAGAACATAAACTCCTACAGCACATTCACAAACCACCATACAGAACAATGATCCCACAAACACAGCGTGAGGGAGAGAGGTATATATACCCAGGGTACCAGGTGACACGAGTGAGACTGATGACAGAGACACAGGTGTGTGTGATCACACTGATCACTCCACCCAGCAGACAAGACAGGACAGGGAAACGCAGACAGCCCTAATATTCACGACCTTTAAATAGTGTTGATAGCATAGTAGCAGCAATTCTTGTTTTCACCTGTCACCCAAATGTTCAACATAATATGAAATAGTTTAAACATACTAAATGGCATGCATTCCCAAAGAGACACACCTGAAGAAAAGACTGGCCGGGTTAATAAAGTCCAGGGCTCTGCTTTAAGATGTGTAGAAAAGTTAAAGCACGTTAAAACAGTTTGAAGTCAGAAACCTGCACCAGAAACATGCACCACACCTAACATTAAGTAAAAAATAATTTCCAAGTTCCAAAAAGCAATCCTACTCACTAAGTTTTCATATGTATTTGTCTTCAGGGGTTAATTTAAGAATATATTTTTTGAGTTTCCTTTCTACTGACTGAAACAGTTTACATCTGGTTGTAATACACCCAAAGCATTTGGAGCAATCCTACTCACTAAGTTTTCATATGCATTTGTCTTCTTTCCATATTAAAGAAAGTAAAAATTAAACATAGCCACTGATGAGGTTCATTCTATACTGGTGTATGTAGTATTTTTCTATGATAGTCCCATCCTAGATCTGATCTGTTTATAATGGTTATACACCAAGGATATGAACGTGTTAAAAAATGGAAAACTACCAACGCTTGATAAGCTTATTCTCTGGAAACCACACATCTCCTTCCCGTTATGTCCTTGACCTGCTCTACTTTTCAAAAATGTATTTTTGTTAGGAAATCAAATACACATCGTGGTGCTGCTGGAATAAAATAACTGTAATGCACTTGTCAATGTTAAATGTTCTTTAAAGGTTTATATTAGGGAACCCTGGCGAGGGCTCAGTTTATATTATGCTCTGTACTGCATGTTATGGTTTTGTTGTCTTCTTTACTAGTCCCAAAGTAACAACTTTAAGTTAGACTTAATATGTTGTGGTAGTTAAATTTTATTTAATATGCTTAATGTGTATGCAAACTATTACTGTGTCTTTTGGGGTTTGAAAACAAACCACGGCCATGCTCTGGCACTGAACCACTGGGTATGACTCAGGCCATCTGCTGTTTCTGCTGGTCTCATTAAGCTGCATTTTTATGCAGGCATAATTTTTAATGTAATGATACATATGTATAATATTTTGCCCTACTTTCTAATTCCATATTAATGCTTTCCAGCCTCAGTAACTGGACTATTCGTACTGTAGTTGTCAATGCCTTTCATTTATTATCCAGTCTACGCCAAGGTCAGGTTCACTGGAGTGGATTAGAAATCTTCTTAGCTTGTAGAGTATGATTACATTTGTATTCCCTCTTTCCATCCTCTGTATCTGCCCACAGCACTTCCATGATGGACGAAAGGCTCAGCAACACATCGAGACTTCATGGAAACAGCTGGAATCGGTGAGTGTGTTGTTGTCCTGTGTTCAGGACGACACGTCACCCACTGACATAAAATCAAACAAAACAAGATTAGGATTAATAAATGCTACGTACATTCCACCTGCAGTTTACATAATCTATTAAGGTATTTACTCACACCCCCCCCCCAAACCAGATGTGAAGGATAAATGGTAGACTTTCGACTTGATAAGAAATAAAAACTGTTATTTTTAAATTTTATTATAACTTTAAATTATCAGGTAGAGTGACAGATGTTCAGTGTTTCATCATAACCCAAACCTTATTATATCAGGAAGGTACACATAATGACACATAACTACAGTGGTTCCCAATCTATGGGCGGGACCCTTTTTACAATAGGGGGTAACAGCAAGGAAAATGAATTTCAATTTCAAGAGTTCCTTTACCTGTGCCACAGCAGCAAACTTGACTTCATATAATCAATGAGAATTCCTTTTTTTAAGGGATCACATTGTTTTAAATAAAGTTCTGTGGAAATGTGAAGTTGCTGCCCAGAAAGCTCCAGAAACATTGATGTATAGTGTAATTATTACGATGTTAGTGGGGATATATTCTGTGATAATTTATGTAACATGGATGATGAGCTAGGAATGTTGGAGCTAACAGCACTAGCCAAACATCTCTAATTTCTCAGTGATGTAAATCTAAATTGTCAAACCATTTCCCCAGACGCCGACAAATCCCTGGATACAACTAAATCATGAGTTGAGTTGAGGCTTAGAAGTGTCACTTTTATTTATGTTAGTAAAAGAGCTTAAAGAGAGATTGCACAGAGCACCACCTCTTATCTCTGCCTGGCCCCTTTGGTCTGTAGAGGAGCAGTGTGTGTGAGGGATGCATAACTGCCTTGTCCTGCAACTTCTCTGCATTCAATGATTCCTTTGTGTGTGAGGCAGATAGCCATAGTTCAGAGTGGACGCTGGCTCAACAAATCCTGATTGTTCGGTTAGAGGGGTCGAAAGAGGGTTGGAAGAATGCTTGTTTTTCTCAACACAAACGGGCACTATGAACATTTGTTTAATCTGCAGACTGTAGACTCGGACAGACCTGTGTGTGTCACTGACATGAACTAACCTCTTTCGCACACAATGCCCGGCTTGAAATGTGTGTGACGCCTGCATACACGTTATGACGTCCATTACGATGGTTCTTTAAAAGGTTAAACTTATCGAAATAAAGCCATATCGTGTGAATTCTGCCCCCATTGTTAAAGTCAGTTGAGGTTTTTAAAATGCATTGTTAAAGCCACATTGAATAGAAACCACTCCTAATATAAGCCAGGCCAGACAGTGCTGCTTTAATATATATTTATATATACATTGTCAATGTGTGATGTAAACAGGGACACTATCACCTCAACAACAGCAGTCTGTGGCATACTGGAGGAGAAAAGGGGGTATCGGATTGATATCGGTATTGACTATTACTCCCAAGTTATAGTATTGATATCAGACAACAAAAAAGTTGTGAGCCATCCCTAGTAAACAACAGAGTGACAGGGAGTTTTAAACAGGGAACCCCCTTCCAAAAGCGAGTGCTCCTTTATCAGAATATATATGGCTTGACTTGAACTACTGCCCAATCTTTACACACCTAAACACTGCATCAATGGCAGAGTATCAGCCATATCTGAGTATTTTGGGATTCAAGTTTTTTAGAAAATTGGAATACAAGCCACGTCTGTGAAATACAGTACTGTGGGGTCGTGTGTTTCACCTGCTCCATTTACTAATGGTTCAATTCCTCTTTTTGTTTTAGTGTAAAAGACGGTTTGAGCGGGACTGCAAAGAGGCAGACAGAGCACAGCAATACTTTGAGAGGATGGACGCTGACATCAACGTAACTAAGGCTGATGTGGAAAAGGTAGGTGTCGGTCCCACCAGTCACACAACCTCGTCTCAGACCCTTCCACTGCCAAAAACACGACTTCTGTTTTCCTTTGTTTTTACTGGTTTCTTTCCTGGGCCCTGACTCCTGACCCCACTGAGCCTGACAGGCAGTAGAGATAAGATGAGCATGACTTTGATGCTAACGCATGTGTTAAAAACCTGGCATTGTCCCAGCAGGGAAGTGGTCTGCTGCTAAACAAAGCAGATAACAGCCATGAGTTGGCGTTATCACCGTAGTGCAGCCCCTAAAGCCTGACCAGACTCTGTATGGGCCTTAGCAACAGGAGGCATCAGTAGTGTGTGTGTGTGTGTGTGTGTGTGGGATTATGTGGCTTCTGATTTTGCATACAGTTTATAGTTGGGTTTCCTCTCACTCAGTGAAAATACACTGTGTGTATTTTAGTATATTGCAGTTGGCATACTGTATCACCACATGAACACATCCCCCAACTTTTGCCATTCTAAGTGCTTGAAGATCAGAGCCCGCAGGTCCTGTAGTTGATGTCATTTCCTCTTGTCACAACTACTTTAAAGAGCCCACACAATTTTGGCCTTTAGTCCACACAGCCTCCTTTGCCTGCAAGGCATCATGGGACAGCAGCGCGTGGTCCTGCTGCTTCATCAGCTGTTGGTGCAGAGCTCAGACTCAGTTGACACAGTTCAGACCCGATTATCATGCAAATACAGTGTGGTATAAAGAGCCTCTCTGCACTCTGGACATACAGCCAGGGGGCTACAATGGACTTAGGCTAACACTGAATTCAAATCGGAAAAACCCATCACAGCTGCCACAAAAAAGTCACATAACAAGGCCAGCCTTGTCTCTGACTACAGACGCTTCATTTATCGATGCAGCTAATGGTCAAACATTAGATTTCTCCAAAAGGAAGAGAAACAAATCTGCATTTTCTTTGCTCCTCTTTACTGAGGCATTTTGTTTGTGTAACTTGACAGCATAAACAACTCCATTAATATGCTGGACGCTTCACTGAGCTCTGCACAACCAGAGCAGTCAGTTTGGGTCTGTTAAAGCCAGACTCCTGGTCATTATACCCTGTTACCCTTTTTCCAAGCAATAATGGAGATGCATTATTATCTTAAGCACTAAATATTTCTTTATTTCTAACTAACTATAGGGTTTATACAGTACAATTCCAGTGACGTTTGAACTCAGCTGTCTCAGAGCCCACATCTGATAATTTTTTTTTTTCACAGTCATCTCAGATTTACGTAATTCAATTTTTTAGTAATTAGGATAATATCAACAGGACACAATTGGGCGGAAGGGTGCTGTTATGACGTGTTCATTATATACACATGGCATTGCATGATGTTATGTCTGTCCATAATACGTTTAAAATCCTGATCCTGTTGCACTTCATTCATTCTGATTGACACAGCTCACTTGATTTTGCCTGGCGTTTGGCATCCTGTTGCCTTATTACAGCAGAGCTGCTGTATGATTAGTTGGAATCTTGTGGTTTTGCACCCCAGCTGGAGCAGACCTTAAAACTGTTCTCTCATCTCCACTGGCAAACACAATCCCTCAGTTTGTGGTTCAGAGACAAACCCACATCCCCACAAAGCCTGTTCCAGGTCTTTGTGGGACCAATGTCCTCCCTCACACACAAAGGCAAGCTCTCCCGATGCAGAGGCTCCTAATTGTTCCCAAGTGCTAGAAAAGACATTGTTATTCTGCACTGGTGTCCAAAACAGAATCACTAGCTAATATTTGGTTTGTTTACCCTGGTGCTTAAATGTTTGACTGACAAGTCATGGTGTCCACAAAGGAAGTGCATGTGTGACTAACTCTTCCTGGAAACAGCTAACAAACACCTTTTTTTGTTTGTGTGTCTGTGTTTTGATATGCATTTAATGCCATGCCCTGAAGAGAAGTTCCATTAAGGTAGGTCGAGTGGACAGAGAGTTTGTTCAATCAGTCTTTGGGATGGAACAATGTCTTCTGCTGAACACACTGTCACTGTGAGGTTTATCTGTGTAAGAAAATGACTGCAGCCGAGGGCAATGCTGTGGAAGATGTCAACTTTACACTTCAGTCTGTCTGTGTGCTTCATTCTCAGCTTTGCAGAAAAACGTTTCTAGGTATCGGTGACGTGCGATGCATTTATTGTACAGAGCTCAGAATATCAGGTAGTTTCTAGAATCTAGAAACTGACAACAGGAAGTGATGTGGTTGCAGTCACAGCAGCTCATTTGGTGGTTTCTTTGTGTTCTATCTTTGTGTTTGGTTACCATAGCAATGTCCTTTGCTCTTGTCAATTCACAAAAGATATACGTACACTTTGCACGTATGCACCTACACCAGCGCACACATAGCTCTGCATGACGACGGAGCTGTGTGGCAAACAGATTTTAAACTGCCGGACTTTCACATGAGCGTTTAAGGCTTCCTTCAGGTTTTAGTGTTGTGTTTGAGGCTGTGACTATTATTTTCCACTGAGGTATCATCTGTCAGCCCTCATGTGTCAGACACAATGTACCTTTGTGTCTGACAGCCCTGGCTCTGATGTCCTCTCCTTCTCCTACTACTGAATATCATTGATTACTTACCCATGTGTCTGAGTGTGAGAAACTGTGGCTGCAGATGTGTGTGAGCCCCGTTAATGTTTCCCTCAGATCAGGGCCCTTGTACTTCCTCTGCCCCCGCACAGTCATTTAGCTCCATTTGATTTGTACATGTGCAGACAGTGGAGCTGGCTGATAGCATTCCCAGGTCCAGGAGTTCACTATCTGGTTGGATAAACCATTGAAACCACTTCTTACATTTGGACAGCCCCCAGATCTAATGGAAAAGAGTAAACTGATACCCAACAAGTGTGCGAGCACATACTCACCAAATCCTGTGTCCGCACGCCTCACATGCTGTCTGGCTGAGATAATCTCATCTCCATCTGCTTGACATGGTCTGGTAATAAGCTGGTCCTGCTGCGTTTATGACTGCCTACCTTCTCTTTTCTTACACTGAACAAGCTCAGTGCAATCAACATTATCAGCATTAATGAGAGGTCAGGCTGGTCGAGCAGTGGCTGTCAAAAATCTGTTTTATGTTTGTTCTGGCTGACGTCCAGTTTGGTCCAAGGCCACGGCTGACGCTGCTGCTCAACGTGGGGTTCCACCTGTGGCTGCATCCACAAGCTCTGTGTGTGTATGTGTACACGGGCATGCATTAACACTCGAATGCTCAAGTATGTCAACCAAAATAGGTTTTACGCTCTGGCTGTGTGTGTGTGTGAGTGTTTTCTGTGTGTGTTTAATCTTCAGTCTGGTTGAGTCAGACATTGGGGAGATACGTACACTGAGGAGTGTAATTGCGATGTACTTGTTTGTTGTTTTTTGTCCAGGCACGACAACAAGCTCAGATGAGACAACAGATGGCTACTGACAGTAAGAACGATTACTCCTCCTACCTACAGAAGTTCAACCAGGAGCAGAATGACCATTACTACACTATTATCCCCAGCATATTTCAGGTAACACCCTCAGTTGGTAATCCTTGCAATACCAACACTACAATTTCAACATTCAAGTTTGTGCAGAACCACGCGAAAACTGTGATAACATTAAAAAGACGGCCATTAAAGTGCCTTATGTACTTCCATTTTCCTACTGCTTCCTGTTCTTTGCCGGAATCCAAAATAAAAATAATCTTTTAATGTTATGTGGATAACAAAGCCTAATTTTGAAAATACCTCCACATTGTAAAAACTGTAAGCCTAATTTTGAAAATACCTCCACATTTGAGTTAAACTGTGAACAAATGTTGTGTATTTCTGATACAAAAACTTTTTTTTTCCTTTAATTCGGTACTTCTGCTTTAAAGTTGTCCAGAAGAAATGAAGGCAGAGATAGTATAGAAGAGATTTACCAGGAGACGTGTCCGACCAGTTTGTGCTCCTAATCTAAGAGCTCAGTTAAAGACACTTTTATTCCAAATTCAACAATGTCTCAGTTTCATAGAATTTTAAATCTCTGGTTAAATCCTGTGTCCTTAACGTATGCCTTCCATAATGTTACTGTGTTCATGTAGAAACTTCAAGACATGGAGGAGACGAGAATCGAAAGGATAGCAGTCTGCATGAAGACCTTCTCAGACGTGGACAGACAAGTGCTGCCCATCGTGGGGAAATGTTTGGATGGCATGACAAAAGCTGCAGAGTCCATTGAGCCCAAGGCTGTGAGTAAACAAAATGAATGTTTATGGCCATGTACACATGCCATATGGGACCTATTATTCACTGAAATGTCAGTCACAACACACACATGACTGAATATGCTTCACTTGGGCAACATGTGTGCTGCATGGTTGGTCATCACTTTACACCAGGGATGGGTTTAAAAACATAACAACAATCCACCCGTAAACACCAGAGTGTAGCAGCAGGATCCTGAGGTGCAGCACTAAGAGGAGTCCAATCAAATGATTTAGTTAAGATTTTTAGAAACCAACAGGCAGAAAGCACATGTTGGATTTCCCCCCTGAGCTATTCTCGTGGTACTGCGTAGTCCCTGTTGAGTGGGGAATTCCACTGATTTAACAGAGAAAGTTCAGTTAACTTCACTGTTGTACTACTCTAAGATGACAGCTGCATAATGTCTTTAGTTGGTCTTCACATTCATGATGTAATCAGGTTCATCTCAGGTTGGGTTAGACCCTGGCCAATAACGAGAAGGTCTGTACTTTGTATTTCAAAGTGGAAGTTAATTTAAAGAGCCAAAACTGTATACCACAGACCAAGAACACAGACCATAGACCAAGACTATTCCATTATAAATTCACTTGGGACAGATTGTTTAACCAGAAAGTTCAGTTTGGCCAAACTTGGTTTAACTTTGGCCAAAACACCCTTCTTCCAGCACATTTCTCCCTAGGCTCCAGAGATAGCAATCCTCTGAAGCACAGCACAGGCTGGCTGCTATTTACAAGAGCTGAAGTCAGATTTCCGTACCACAAACACGAGGTTTTGAAAACAGCAGTTGACTTTAGATTAGTGCTTCTTCACTGATTCGTTTTTAGTGCCTATCTATGGGCCCACAGCACTAAGAGACAATTTACACTTTTAGTTGTTGCTGATGCTTTGTTGAGGATGGTTGATGAGGGGAGGGACAGGACATTATATTCTGTACATCCTGCACTGGCCCGTTCCCAAAGGATGAGTCTTTTATGATTCTCAGGTCATAGCTTTTGTTCTTTTCAGTCCATTAAACCTGAGGGAACAGTTTTAGATTTTAAGGACAAGGGTACAGCCACTTTCCAGCAGTGTTGGATAAAAGGTTTAAGCAGCAGTTAGTCAGACGGATGGAAAATAGTTCATTGTAAGTGTTTCATCTGAAAACTGTTGAAGTGATGCCATAATGATAACACTCTGGTAAGAGTTCCTTTAATCAGAGAATAAAAAGATTCAATCGTGTTTTATATGCAACAGATGATCCGAGCCAATCTCTCTGAGTAAATATTCCATTGGTGGGTTATTGGTCACATGGTGCTAGTTATTTAATATCTGCCTCCCGTGAAAAAAAAACCCCTATGAAGATAATCAAAGAGAAAAAAAATGAAAATAACTTAATATTGTGATATATAGAGATGTCACATGTTGGCTGCCTGCAGTTTGACATAAAACAAGATTAGCTACAGGCACCAGAGTGTTTTTATGTGTATGCATGTAAGTGTGTGTGTGTGTCAGCTCCAGGGAGATGACTCCAGCCTGTGACTATCTGCTGCAGTAAACAACAGCAGGGAACAGCACATCACATGCTTCTTTCTTCTGCCTCCAATCGTCTCACTGTCTCTAGTGTACAGATGGAACAGCAGCAAATCTTTGAACCCTCACCCCAAGTCTTACCAGACTCCCCTCACTCCCCCAACATTATCAGTGCAGATTCTGTAGGTCAACCGACACTGCACGTGATTAATGTACACCTTCCTGTCTCTGCCATGCTTGTGTCCTTGACCTTAGTTTTTGTCATCACTCCTTCATGGCAGATTGAGGTCTTTTCCTTTCTCTTACGTGTCCCACTACATGAATAATGGCTGGCTCCTTTATTCCTCAGTACGGTCCTCCACTGATATCAAGCAGAACACTGTTCAACAACAGAAAGCCAGGCAACTGTTAAGAATGGTGTATGAGAATCCTGTATGGCTGATGTGAGTTCTTGATAAAACCACTCTGTACTGGACCCTCCTGGATTGAAGTGTGGGTACTGCTATTACTGTGTATTGTGTTTCTACACGGTCATAGTGTGACTGCATACACCGGAAACTGTGTCTAAGACAAATACAATTTCTGTGACATCCCTAGTGCTCAGTCTTATTCTCCAGGCCTGCTGATAAACATAAAAACACATTTAAACATTTACTGCTTTAAAAAAAAAAATCCCTAAAAATGTAGCAGTTGTTTATTTTTTTCTTTCCCCAACAGGACTCAAAACAGGTGGTGGAGTCCTATAAGTCTGGGTTTGAGCCTCCAGGTGATGTTGAGTTTGAGGACTATGGTCAGGCCATGAAACGCACGGCCTCAGACACCAGCTTGACCAACTCCAAAGAGAGCAAAGAGAAGCCTTCTGGGAAAAGCAAGGGAAAACTGTGGCCTTTCATTAAGAACAAGAACAAGGTAACGTGACTGCACACTCGACTAAGAGTTACGATCACATATTAATGGACTGCAGCGCCTCACTGGCTGTAGTCACTTACTCTTGTACTTGGGGAACATTTTTAAAGGGTGGGTCAAAGGGCAGCTGAGATCCGTTTGATTCATTTATACTGGTTTTTTTTTTCTTCTTGTGATACACTGGCTGTGAAAATGAAAGTGCTGCTCTGTTTCTATTGTTATGCCTTGACTTTCATTGACTTCTATAAGTTGAATAATTTTTTTAGTAGTTCTCTGTTAGCATTGCCATTTCTGTTGTTATTATTTGCCCACCCCCCCTTCTTCTCCTCCCTGGCAATCACCCTTGACCAAACGTGGAGCCACCTTTTTGTAACACACACTAATGCATTTTTCCCCTCAATCAGTGGACGAACTCATCTGGCAGATATTAACCAGGTCAAAAGGTCTAAACAAATCTCTATCACTGTTTTTTTCCACTGACTGTTGACGTGCCTCGGTTTGCCTACTTCAGTTTCCTGCTTCTCAACAGCAAAAGTGATCTGTAACCGCCTCATGGGCTGGACTTACTCTCAGCACTGAATTAGGGCAGAGCATGAGTGAGTAACAGGGTGTGTGTGTGCGCGCGCGAAGGAAGGGGAAGGAAGAAACAAGTGTTCAACCGGAAAAGAGAAACCACAGCACACACAGACACTGAGGTTTAAATGGTGCATCTTAGAACAAGTGGGAGTCATGATGATGCACACAGATACACGTATTCATGTATATTTCATACAAAGTCAATACATTAGAGAATGAAGATCCATTATTGTGAATGAGGGTCATAGGTCATGACTCTCTGGGCTGTGCATGTGCCGTGAGTGGCATCTTCCAATTTGTCACTGCTACAATCTCTAACTCTGTCTCAAATGACACGGTCAAACATTTAAGGACATTTGTCACTGCTACAATCTCTAACTCTTAAAATGTCTCAAATGACACGGTCAAACATTTCAGGAGATAAATAATTGCTATATTTCTTTAATGTTGATTTTGATGATTTGAAACTGATCGTCTGGTTTTTCTAGGGAACTTGTTTGTCTTAGATGGTATTTACAAAGACAGGAAAGGAAAGAGGGGAAAAAAAGGGACTGACTAAAAACAGGAGCCTGCATGCGCTTTGAACAAATCTCATTTTGCTTTTTGCTTTGTTGCAGTCGCTTGCTTTAACACTACACTATTGACTTCGCCGACCCACTGGGTTGATTCTCCTCTTCAACTGTTTGTTTTGTTTTCTTATTTTTACATTTTGTTATGTTTTAATCCACTAGATTTGTTGTTTCTTCAGTTCTCTTTTAACTTCTGTTGGGGTTTTCGGTTGTGTGATTATTTATTAGGCGGCTTATTTATTTCGTTTTGTGTTCCCTTCTTCTCTTCCTCCTATTTGTCCTTATTCGTTGGTTTCTCGCCCCCTATTTTTCTACTTGTGTTCTTCCATGTTTTTCTTCCCTATTTTTATCGGCTCCCTATCTTACTGGTAGCTTATGTCCCTGTTAACGTCCCCCCCCCAGCCCCCCCCCCGCCCCCCCCCCTACACCCCGCCCT